TAATGAGTTCGTCTCCAGTGCTATAAAATACTTTGAGTCGTGCGCCTAATTCGGGAAGAAAATTTGCATCGCAGTTGGGGTTGGAGAAATCGAGAAAGCCATAAAATCGTATGCTTGCGGCTGCGATATTCATGAAGTTATGGAAGATCGAATGTTCCTTAGGCTAGAGGATTAACTATATAATCTCAGCTTCCAATAGCGCCATTCTAACTGAAAGTCAATTTTAATGAAAAATTCCCACAAAATTCACAGTGCTATGAATGAGTATTCACAAACTGTTAAGAAAAATAAATTCAAAAACTGTTAATGAGTATTAAAAAACATTTATGCAAATTATATGAAAAGTGAAATTCGACGAATTGAATGGAATCAGTTTCGTCATTGTTCCGCACGGTCCTTTTTGAGGCCGGTTTCAATTTGGGTTTATTTATTCCACTGTGTTTATTTAGATTCGGCTTCTTTGATGCATAAAACGACCGACTAGCTTCTCCGTTTTAGTAATGGTTTTCAACCGGAAATTTGAGCATACTAATAGTTCTATCTTTACGTACATACAACTGATGAGAGCTGCAAGATACCACTGCGGTGCGAGTTCAGTCACATAACCTGAATGCTTGATAAACTGAAGAGCAAACTTGATAGTTTCAGATAGCCAATCAGATCTGAACGGTGCTCTAATGCCGCTCGATTATTCGAAGTGGAAGAAGATTGAGGTGTCAGACGATGAGGACGATACCCATCCAAATATCCACACACCATCGCTGTTCAGATGGCGTCATCAGGCTAGGCTAGAACGGATGGCTGAAGCTAAGGAGCAACGCGAGAAGCTCAGTGAAGAGAGACTGATAAACGAGAGACGTGTCCAGGTGATTTCAAACTGAGTTCGGTGAAAAACTTAGTTCCGTCCATATATTCCGGTGGTTGAAATCAAGTCTCGTGAGCGACAACTTGTTTTGATCGATCCCAAACCTAATCTCCAGTTCGTAACGTTAGGTGCAGATATGAGTTTACCTTATTCACAACCGATGCAGAATGCTCATCTTTAATTTATAGATGATCATGTGGCAGATTTTCAGACGATTCAGTCAATTCAGAGATTTTGCTTTTTAGGACATAGATGAGAAGCTTAAATCACTCAGCGTGGATGATAAGGAGCGAATGAAGTTGGAGTTGGAGATGAACGAATTGAAGAAACAAGAAGAAGAATTTCTGAAGAAGGAGAAAGAGTTGGAAGATAATGAACAGAAAGCACCGTGGAATATCGATACAATAGGTCATGAAAAATTTAGCAGTTCGGTATGAGAAACTTTTAAGAATCGTTCAATTTTAAAGCGTAACCGAATTTCTGATCCATAAGAAGGCCTTTATGGAATCAACGAACACAACAAGATTGCTCTACTGAATCTTTGTTGAACATTTGGGCGAGTTTGAAAAAAATGTTCATTTCATCCATACATCTTGATTTGATCCCTCAAAAGGTCATTATGTTTTCAGCGAGTCAACAAAATCAGTGACCAAAAAGCCGAACCACCAAAACTCTCCGAGGAAGAGGAGAATGCTCGGATGGTTGGTTTCTTTTTCCGGTTATGAACTTCCTAAATTCGTCTCATGAGCCATTACACTTTCGGCAGACTTCATGAAAAAACTTGAAAAGTTCATACGACTATTTCTCATGAAAAGACTCACGGAAGACTCAGGAAAAGTTGTTTCT